ACTAAGAATTATATAGAAAACAGTTCAGAATAGAAAAGCAAAATATCAGAAAAGAGAGTGTGTGTGTGTGTGTGTGTGTGTGTATCTGTGTGTGTGTCTGTGTGTGTATTTTGGGGGGGTGAGCTTTTCATATGTCAGAGAGTTTCACTCTCCAATCTGTTTTAGTAAAATCTTCACACAGGGCCGGGCACAGTGGCTCAAGTCTGTAATCCCAGCACTTTGAGAGGCCGAGGCGGGTGGATCACGAGGTCAAGATATCGAGACCATCCTGGTCAACATGGTGAAACCCCATCTCTACTAAAAATACAAAAAATTAGCTGGGCATGGTGGCGCGTGCCTGTAATCCCAGCTACTCAGGAGGCTGAGGCAGGAGAATTGCCTGAACCCAGGAGGCGGAGATTGCAGTGAGCCGAGATCGCGCCATCGCACTCCAGCCTGGATACAAGAGCGAAACTCCATCTCAAAAAAAAAAAAAAAAAAATCTTCACACAGGTTATCCTCTTAGATTTAAAAGGACATTAGAATGTTTGCTAGAAAACAATCTCATAGATTAAATAGTCACTTTCGCTAGTGACCTAAAAGGTATCATTCAAAGGACATTAGAATGTTTGCTAGAAAACAATCTCATAGATTAAATAGTCACTTTCGCTAGTGACTTAAAAGGTATCATTCTTCTTTGCAGTGACCTCAGAACTTTCCATATTCTTTTAACAGGGTAAGAGCAGATAATGCCACAGAGACTGTCATTCCCATGGACATTTAAATATATTACCACATGAGGGCCAGGTGCGGTGGCTCATGACTGTAATCCCAGCACTTTGGGTGGCAAGGTGGGTGGACCACTTGATACCAGGAGCTCCAGAGCAGCCTGGCCAACATGGCGAAAACCCGTCCCTACTCAAAATACAAAAATTAGCTGGTGGCACATGCCTGTAATCCCACCTACTTGGGAGGCTAAGACAGGAGAATCACTTAAACCTGGGAGAGGGAGGTTGCAGTGAGCTGAGATCATGCCACTGCACTCCAGCCTAAGCAACAGAGCAAGACTCTGTCTAAATAAATAAATAACTTACCACTTGGCACTGCTAAAGTGCTCGCCCCAGTTCCTGCACCTGTCTGTCTGCATGGTCCCCTTCCCATAAGGAACTTGAGTATGTGGTGGCTGAAGAGAGGAGCCACACTCCTGTCACACAACCTTGGAATAGGAGTCAGTGAACTCTCCTGTTTCATTAACATAATAAAAATGCCTTTAGACTGTCAAATATTAAAAGAGCGTTTTGACACATTTTAGTCCGTCTTGTTTTTATTTGTCAAAGTTGTTCACTTCTTCCTTCATTCTTTATATGGTTGTGTGCATTTCTATGGAAATATGCTGGATTGAGAGGCCTTGTGTTTTACAGAATGTATTTTCATCCCTCATAAAATTGTACAAGGTAATATTACCACCAATATGAACTATTGTGTACAGATCAACTTTTCAAAAATATAATATGGTGATTTTGAAAGTTTTTATTGTAAGACTTTTATAAGCGTATTTGTATATGCAAGTACCCCCATATACAAAAATCCATTATTCTTTCTTCGGATGGAGCCCAATTGTGGAGATGAAAATATCCGTTATAGAATATCATTTAATAATAGATATCTCTTCATTATCTTTACTAGAAAGATATTCATTTCTCTAGGAAAGATTCAGCGAACAATTCAGTTGATACAAAAACATTCCCAGGACCAGAACATCACCTCCAAAATGTTAACTTTTTCCCTTATTAGTTTTATAAAGGATATAAATATACCACCTAATATATTTTGGACATTTTTTAGAAAAGAGAAAGCACATCCATCTTTGAATCATGTCTAAGGCTTTAGGTATAATTACTTAAATTACAGCTGATGCTTAGAATGCAACAAAAAGGAAGCAATATAAGGAGAAGTGAATTAGACAGAATTGTTCTGACAATTCTGAGAAAATTCTGAGAAAAAAAAGAATTTCCAAACAGAAAGATAACGTTTGAATTAATCTGGTTTCTTGATTCATTGTATGTCTATGGTGGATAAGAAAATTCCTTAAAGACTTGATGGGGCTGGTTCCTAACTAACTCTCCAAGAAACAATATTTCATCAAGTATGACCACAAATTAGGAGGAAGGCTGAGGGTGAGAAAGTAGACTCAGTTTCTACAATGTACCTTTGCTTACAACCTGTCACCTTTTCACATTTAAACAGAAATCACATAAATGTTGCAAATCTTATACATTCCCCAGAGATTTAGGTTTTGTCCATGTGGCAGAGAAACTCTACCAGACCAAGCAGGTAAAATGATTTCTGAGTTTATTTTCTCAATGCAGAAATATTTTATTAAACCACTGATTCTAGGATGACTACATCTCTTTAGTCACCTTGATCTTATAATGCTATGTAGTATGCAAGGCCAGAGAAGTAAGTGAAAAACCTCCTACTGAAGTTAACTAGCAAGTAGAAATCAAATTTAGTTATTATTTCGAAGTCTGCCATAGGTCATAATGAATTGTTGCTTAGGTCTTTTAAAACACTTGATTTGGTTAAATGTAAAAATATTTAAGAGGACAAAATGGTACAATCAACCTCCTACTGGAAACTAAACCTCCTACTGGCAAAGAAAAAAAAAATGTTGTCACATGTGATACAAATAGAAAACTTGAAACACTTAAACAACGAAATTAGAACAGAAAAAAAAAAAGAGTGGAGCATAAACAACTATGTACTTGAAATTGATCTTAATCTAACATATGTCAATCTTTTCAAGGATCAAAATAAAAGCATTTTATCTTTGTTCAAATAAGATGTTTTCATTTGAAACTTCTGTTATGCTATTAACATATGCCCTCATATACGAGATTAAAAATCTGAATTTTGGCCGGGCGCGGTGGCTCAAACCTGTAATCCCAGCACTTTGGGAGGCTGAGGCGGGTGGATCACGAGGTCAAGAGATCGAGACCATCCTGGTCAACATGGTGAAACCCCGTCTCTACTAAAAATACAAAAAAATAGCTGGGCATGGTGGCACAAGCCTGTAATCCTAGCTACTCGGAAGGCTGAGGCAGGAGAATTGCCTGAACCCAGGAGGCGGAGATTGCGGTGAGCCGAGATCTCGCCATTGCACTCCAGCCTGGGTAACAAGAGTGAAACTCCGTCTCAAAAAAAAAAAAAAAAAAAAAAAATCTGAATTTTATCAGAAAACTCAGATATATTTTCATATGATCCTCAGCACCAAACTATGTTTATGATATTCAAGGGTGTATAACTACCTCTGAAGAAATATTTGAAAATGTTATGGCTTTGTTCTTTTAAAAGCTTAGTCATACATATCTATCTGAAAATTTAAAAGCCTAATTATAACTGAATTGAATAAAATTGCAATCCAGAAAATATAATTAATATCCAAAAAGAAAATTAAACTCTCTAACACGTATCACTTTATAATTTAGCACTTTACTTTCTTTTCATATAATTTTTTCATATACAATTATATAAAAGGCATCACAAAGCCTTGAAATAAAAATAAAATCTCTTATTCATTATTATTACATATGTATTACTAACTGCAACTAAGAATCTGCTGATTTTTTATGTAACTTTAAGGCTAAGAAAGGAAACCCAGGACAAAGAAGGACCCTTCACAAGATCTTTAAAATCCCAGTCAAAATTTATGCACAGAGAGTAATTGGACATCCCTTTAGAAAGACCTAGAGACCAGTTGATTTCTACAACTTACTTATGGTCTCTCAACATTCTTACATCTTCAGGTTATTGTTCTGAGATTTATGCTTTTTCTAATATCTCTCTCCATTTATGGTCTTGAATTCAGCTTACTTCACCTCAGACCTTGAAAACTGTCAACAAGCAAGACCTGTCAGGCCTCCAGACAGAATCTGTTTGGGCATGTTTTTGACTATAAGATGTTTTTTAAAAAATAATATCTGACTTTGAGCACTGTAAATGTATACATGTATGGAGCTCCTCCTGAACAACTGCAATTTCTGGTGACCTGGGACTTCTTCTGCATGACAGCAATTAGTCTGTGGGAAGCCATCCAGAAACCAGATATGTTATCTCCTGGTTTTTTTTATGCTTTCTTCTATTCATTAACATCTTACTGATCCCAAAAACGAAGGACAGGTTCTTATTGAAGTCTTAGTTTCAATATCCTTTGTGTTACACTCAGTCTATGAGAATCTGAGTTAGATTTCTAGTACAGTTGTTACTTTCCAGGCTCCATCTTGAAGCCTGATTCACTTGACTGCTACCTTGATTCTGTTTCCAAATCTGGGTCCTTACCTGGATCCTTGACTTTTTCCTGTGCTCTTATTTCTCTTTGTCTCATGTTTCATTCCCCCCGCCCTGCCCCCACTAGAACGTGCCAGTAGCAATTAACTTTTTACTAATTTTTAGATTTTAATTATTTATCCCTCATATCATTAATATATAGTTAATATTTTACCACTGTGGAATTTAGATGGTGATTTTTTAAAAGACAGAAAATTACAAGGAAGTTAATAGTCTAATATCATGGAAAAAATATGAAGGAAAAATTTCCCAGGGATACATTTTACTAAAATATTTGGTTGCTAAAACATTTCTTCAAATACTTTGTTTAAGCAAAGGTTGAGAGAAACAAGCTTGTAACACCATGTGATATCAATCTACAAAGACTTCCCATTTATCCTTTGCTCAAAATACTCTTTTATACGAACATGTAATTGTTTAAGAACCCAACTTCAAAGTCTGTGTGTGTGTGTGTGTGTGCGCGTGTGTGTGATGTGTTTCGTCTAATGGTGTTTTTGCTAAAACATACTTGCAGCTTTGAAATGCATATTAAATGTCAGGCAATAAAATTCATTCTTTCGTAATAACTGATATGCTTTTGGTTGAAAGAAAAGGCAGGTTACAGGTTCTCTTTGAACTTTCATTACTATGCAAAATTTAATATTTCAGTTGCATTGTTCTAAGAATGGACTCACCCTGGCAATGTACTCCTTCATCATACCCATCTGGGCAGTCGAAGACACCATTGCACAGCTGGGATAAATGAACACATTTGTTGGTACCAAGGCAAGCAATGTGATTCAAGGGGCACTTGATTTCTACCTCCTCAGGACCTGAAAAAATGTAAAAAGGGACAGAATTTTGTGTTAGCTTTGCTTTTTAAATGGTAAAACTATTACACACAAGAAATTACTAGCATAATTTTACAAAACAAAACTATAGAAAATACTGTAAGAGTGCTGCTCTTATTTTCAGAGGCATTGAAATTATCCTGTGTGATTAAACACTTAATTTTTAAAAACTGCATAGGAAGGGAAATACAAATTGTTTTCAAATAATGCATTAAAAACATAAATATTCTTTTCATTCATTAAATAGGTATGGATTTAAAATCTGAGGGTTGATTTGAGTCATTGCTTTATTTCAAATACTAGATAAGTTGGGCAAGTTACTTTGAATCTCAATTTCCTCAGCGGTGAAATATGGATAATGGTTCTTGGCAGGTCTCTTGTCAGGTCACATGAACAAAAATGTTTCAGTGGCATTGAAGTGAAGTTATGCCAATCTAAAGGTTATATTATTGTTAGTCTATTCTTTAATAATATGAAGAACAGTAAGTTATCAACATATTTGTATATGACTTCTATTGTTTAAAAATCTTTTACTGAGCAACTACGATGCAATACTAAATAGGAAGTGAAGAAAAGGGCATGCTCAATGAATTTGAACACCAGTGATCTCTACTTTGTGTAATCACCCTTTGTGTTTTTAAGATAAGCTTAAATCATAACATTGGGTCTTTTCTGGAAGTTTATTCATTCCAAATCTTTATCAAACATTTAATTTGCATGTTATTTTATCTGAATTTCAGGCTGCCAACTCCCAAATCCTATCTATACTTCTACAAGCACTCTCCAAATCCCTGTATGATTCCTAGTCTTATCCAGCTATCCCAAATCCAAAGTATAGTAATACCAATATGCCTACTATCATGTATTAATCTGACATAGATTATTGTACCAGCCTTGATTGTATAGACACACTTTAATCAGAACTCTGTTGAGTCCATGGGACATTAATTGATTTAATCAAATAATCGTTAGCTTTCTCATGTACAAAATAGAGCTATCAAATGAGCCTAAGTCATAGGGTTGTTGTGAATGTCAACAGTTATTGACTACAAAGCATTGAGCACTGCGATGGAGGCTGAGTAGGAATTCAACATGCATTAGTTACATAAATAAGTGCAACATAGCAGAGTGCCTAACAGACTCTGGAGACAGATTCCCAGGTCCAAATGCTGACCCCACTATTCATAAGCTGAGTGGTTTGGGCAAGTTATATATCAAGTCTGCTTTTCACAGGGTTGTGGTGAGGATTATATTAAAAGCTCTTTGAATACTGTCTGGCAAGCACTTAATAAGTGTTTTGTGTTATCATAGTTTAATAAAGAATGTTCTAAGAAGATAAGTTGCTTTATTTAATATCTGAAAACTATGTTTCTCTTGTAAGCCGCTTTCCCCTTCCTGAAAAAAAAAGCTCAAAAATTTCATGTTTTACCTTCTCTACTTAGTTGAGGCAAAATAATAATAATTAAAAGACCAATCTAACATATTTTAGGATATGCAAAATTATGAGAATTACAGAAGATTGCAATGTGATAAAATTAGAAAACAAACAAAAGGAAAAATATCTTACAAGCAAGAAAACAAACTAGAGTTGCCAAAAGTTAAATATAATTCTGAAATACTTTATCAAATAGGAATTATAGGTATAAATTATTTCATTTGATGCTAAAACAGCTTTCTCCAAATCTTTCATGTTTTGGGGGATATAAACAAATTTTTATAATGTAACTTTACTGGCTGAATTGTTTAATAGATTTCTCTGTAAATTTCATGTGTATATATGTAATTACTATTATACAAGGCTATTAAATGTCAAACACCTGTCACTCTAAATGCACAACTCATTTTTCTGTAACATGCTCCTGCAACTTGAGTATTAATATTTCTAAAGAAATACCTTTATTTCCATATATATGTATATATGTGCATATATATTAATAAAGTACAAATATACAAAATTGAATACAAATTACAGAAATAAAAGTAAATGAAAGAGTTCACTGAAAGTCTCTAGCTATTTAGTCATATTAACATAAATCCACTTAAAATGAATTTTAAATATGCATAAATTAATATTAAAAAGCTATAAACTTCTATGACCAAAATCATAAAGTAGCTTTTTTAAATTACTTGGCTGATTCATAACAATTTAAAAACATGCATCCTTGCATAAATTTCCAAGAAATGTTTAGGTCAGTTATTTACAACATCCTGTAAAATTTCTAAAAGTTACCCACAGAGAAAACATTTCATAAATCTGAGAGATTTTAGAAATGTTACAGTTAGAAAACAAAAATGACTCAGCAGTTCTTATAAGCAGCAAGACTTTTTAAAAAGTGATTAATGTATTGGCTCAAATGGAAGTATGATTTCTCACTGGTAAAATTGCCATGTTACTGAGGAACATGACAGTATGAGTGAAATACACATCTGGTCGCCAGAAGAAAGGCTCAGCTACTTACAAATGTTGAGAAAATAAAAAAAATTGTGTTTATCTTGCAAAAGCAACATATAGAATTATCAGATTATTCCTAGTGGTAATGTTTAGGGACATGAGGGAAATTAGTCTGGGAGAATTGAAGAGTTACTTGGTTTCTTTACAGACTAGCCACTGTAGTCTTTCTCATCTTTGATACACTCTTGTCTTGGTTGCTGGGACTACTGGGTAACCCTTGAGACAGCTGGATCATGGCCAGAAGAACTGTACCTTAACCAGTCCTTCCCAATTTTCATATCAACACACATTAAGACAATCATAATATTTGCAAGGTACACTGGAGCAAAGAGCAGAGAATATTTTTAGAAGTGGCCGCAGGCCCTGGTAATTAACCTCACAGTTGAGGGAATAAATATTTCAGACCTCTTTGACCAGTGCTAAGATGCTTCAGTTGGAAAACTGCTAAAACCAGTATTTTGTTGTTCTTTCTGGAAAATGGGGAGACAGGGCAGTTTGAGAAATTGCAATGCCTACCTCAAACAAAATTCTCCCAGAAGCCAGGCAATATGGATATTTAACTTACTGTTGCTTTGGGGAATAATCCATCCTTAATTCCCAGTGATCATTTCTGCAGTGAAAATATTTATATCCCATGAAGCTCCTTACAGATTCTGTCCATCCTGTAAATGGACAGAAGATCCAGTCTGACTACTGCTTTTACCCATTCACGAAGGTGAGAAGCGTGGGATAAAGGAGGTTTCATGAATTCCTGAGAGTATGGAAGTATTGCCTTCAATTAAATGATTAATCTCATGAAGACTTTCAGGTATTTGGACATTTCACAGCCAGAGATTATAAACTAAGCACAGCAAAAAGCATGGTTGGAGGCTCTCTGGTAAACCTGGCATTGCCTCTGTACTGACTGAATCATGAGGCATTGGGAAGGACCTAAGACAGGGACAAGGTGCCCAGGTAGTGAAGACAAATATCAAAATTGTACAAAGACACTTCAAATTTTTAGGAAGTATCGTAATCCTAGTGAGAATGTCACCTCAGCAGCTTTCAGCATTATGCATATTCAGAAAACATTCCCAGTCCCTTAAATCTAAATGTAGGTAGCCTAAGCAAGATAGCAAAATTTAAAACGTAATATCTTAAAAAAGAAAAATTCCCTCATTGAGTGACTTTAATTATATCAACACATGAGGCTAGTATTTATACTTTTATATTATGTATGGGCCTTGACCAATTAGTTGAAATAGGTTTCATCTCTTACACAAAACCTTATTTTACAAATAATGCTTCCAGGATAGTGTAAGAACAATGAGATTCATCTGTATACTACTGAATGCTTAAATTATTTTTAAGTATAGAGTAAATCTCTTACTGTGTACATTAATAGGGGATAATAAAGGACAAAAGTTTCATCAAATAACCCTTCTGATTAAAAAATTGAGATGGCATGTTTTGTGGAGAGGAAAACTTTTCTTCTACTTTAACGGCAGACACAAATAACGGCCCTTGTCACAGCATCATCATATCTTAGCAGAAACAGCATCACTCCTTCTTCCCCACAGCAAACATCTCTAGCTTGCATAGTATCATATCCCACTGTCTGGATCTTGTCCTGTCAAGAATTGCCTCTTGGTTTTCCCATTTATTTTCCCAATATTTCAAAGCACTTTGCCTGCAATCTCACTCACTCAACTTTCTTAACTTATACACAAGAAGAAGTTACTTTTGCTGTTAAAACTTTCCTTCAAGCAGTATCCTTTTTTGCCTACTGAAAACAATTTACCGTTAAACTTCTTTAGAACATAGACGGCACCTGCTGCATACCTACCCCCATATCACACGCCTCTGCTTTTAACATTCTGCTGAATTGCTCTCCAGGGCCTCTGTGGTCCTGGCCACAGTGAAGCCAGAGACATGCAAAGTCCTCCAAAGACTGTCTAGAATTCCTCCCTTTTAGAACATTGTCCACCATTCTTTCTCAGGCTTCTTATATTCTATTCACACCATTATTTTTGTCATTCCTCACAGCATTCCATGGACATACTGGACACATTTTACACATGCTTTTTCATAAAATCCCCTCCATCTTCTGCCTGGGAAACACACAATTATCCTACAACTATATACTGTCATCACTTTTCCTGAAACTTTTCTGACTTCTCCAAATTCTGTGGCAGGTTATAAGTTTGTTTATGATTATTTTTTCTAAGTATTTTTCTTCAAAATAAGACTGTGAGATATCTGATGTCATTGATTATTTCTCATCCATCTCACCCATGGAAACACCTAGCAGGCTACTTGACAGAATAGGTGCTTGGCATACTGTTGTTGAAGGAATGTACACTGCATTTTAACTCCTGGATGATTTCTATTTCCTCTGACATGATAGAAGTCACTCTTTTCCACCATTAACACATTCTCAGAGCAGTTTCTACAAATGCTACTTTCATCCCATGACTACTTTCAAAATTATAATGGTTCTCAATTGCTGATTACAACAAAACCAAACTCCTTGGCCTGAATCCATCATCTA